TTGGATGTGTTTACTGAGGATATGACTGTTATTCGTTTTCTTTAATGGCTTTTGTTACATGATTATATAAATGTTTCTAATCGCATACAATGCATTTAAAACAATGAAACCAATCTCTTCTGACATCTTCTGACTCAATTTTGACTGAACCTGGACAAAACATTCCCCACCAAACTCAAAATATTCTAGAATACGTTCGACATATTTGCAATCCTCCGTATTTGTTTTTTAGATGTTTGATTCTGTGAAAATGGCACTGAATCATTTTGTGATGGAGAAATATATTGTCAACTACAACAAATGTGGTCTATAGGATCAGGACCCACCAGTGGAAGCCACATGAACCCACTATAAAATCAGAAACCAGTGGTCAAGACCACATTAAACCACTATAGAATCAGAACCCTCGGAGAAAAAATATGCAAACAAATTGAACAAATCAAACATAAGTCAAAATCACGTTGTTTTTTTGTTCATCCATTGTTAACTGTTCCTATGTTTTGTTATTCTGTAAACTCCCAGGGTCTGCCTGTAATTCAAACATATCACTAAAAGATAATAAAATACACTAAACAAATCTAATCAATATGTCAACGGGGCAAGCAGTTCAATGGGAACTGCAACGTGCACTACGGGGTTCCATGCTGGGGTCCATGTTAATTTCCATTGTGGGTTCAACGAACACACCCAAGGGAAACAACAGGGTTGAGGAGGATCTTATGGTTCAAGAATCACAAAAAGGGTAACATTCATATCATCAAGTGTTGTTGACAATATCCAAAACATAAAGGGTCTTGAAAGCAGAGATCTTCTTACTTGCTCAATTTGGTAACAAAAATAACGCCCTCTACAAAATCAGTTTTTTTAAGCAAGATGTTACCTCCTATAGAATCAGAACCACCATCTCGATGATATTTGGTCCATAACCCTAAAAGAGGCCCTCTATATAATCAGAAACAGGAAATCAAAACTCTATAGAATCTGAAAACCAGTTTCCAAGACAAGAAAAGGGCGTAATAAAAAAACAGTCTATTTGGAGCACGTGCTCCAAGATTATCAAGATTTTGTAGAGGTAATTGGCAGGGGGATCCAGCAACGATATGTTTCCAACGAAGTCTCGGTCACGCCACGCGCCTCATTCACTGGGCCTGATGCCACGTTCCAAAACACGTCACTGGCAGAATGAAACCCTTAAACGTCGTGAGCGTAGCCGCATAACCAACCCGATTGTTGTCGCCTCTGGTACATCTAACGTGGTTTCAATTGGTTAGTGACAAATACGAAATCAATTTTTTTTCTGCATGGTGGATGAAAAATAACGGTTTGGATTAACATTTGCAGCACGTTTCACCTTGCAGTTCGTTTTAGCGGTTCTGATTCTGTCTCTTTTTATTTTTCTCACCAGTATTCCCGTGCCTTATTCGGGAGTTCTCAGCTGGGTATGGATTGTTGTCTTAGGCGTTCGAAAACTAAGAAGTATGCGATGGTGCAGAAAAATCCTATGTCCTATATTATCAGTTTCGTTTGGAAGGTTCAATGAGGTTCCTATAAATTTCCAGCCGGGTTTGTGAATACGCGCCATCCCCGCTGTGTGCACCCCGCGCGAGTGCCAGGAGTCAGCGCTGGCATAGCAACGATTGCCCGAACAAAAGCTAAACATACGCAAAGGAAGCATGACATTATCACCGAATGCGCGACAAAAAAAATAGGAAAAAACTCACCATCGCCCCGGGTTCTTCAACAACTGTGGAAGCCCACAAATCTGGTGCCACCGATGGTCATTGAATCGTTGCAGCATCGCTTATAAGATTGGACTCGCGTACAAGTCGGTGGGCATGCATGGTGCAGCGCCCTGTGTGAAAAAAATCCGGTGTACAACCGAGTGAATGCCCAGATAAACTTCAAAAAGTAAGCAAAGGCTTTCCTCTTGCGTAAGTGCGAATGTATTGCTTTTACCAATTACTTTACAGGACAGGGGATGACGTATGTGTGTGTGTGCGTGTGTGATCCAGTTCACCTACATGTATCTTTTTTCGAGGACTGAGGCTAGTTGGAGCAGAAGGAAAGTGTATTGCACAATCTACATGAGACGTACAGATACATACAGTATATGTAGGGATACATGGGTCAAAACCCTGGTACCTCAGTGAACCCCAAATGAGCTGGCAAATGAATGTTAATCCGCCCTAAATAAATAAATATGTATATATATATATACATTGGGCCCAAAAGTGTTTAACTCATACTTATATTGTTCGACATGCAACATGACGTTGATAATTTGATTTACTGTATCAAAATCGGTGCTTGGCGGTTTTCTACATGATGGAACATGCGTCCTACATTCCAATCACACTGCTCTTCCTGATTGTAACCTAAGCAGAAGGTTGTGGTAGGTAGTGGTTCCGGGAGCATCCAAGGCCACATCATTCCATCAGCAAGAACAACGGGATATTGGAACGATTTGCCGGTTTTGCGGATGCAAATAAGCAGTTTTCAATGTCCCAGCCGTTTCAGTGCAGCGGTTCAAAGTTGACCGAACGACGACGTTGCTTGGCGCTCAGCCTACCAAAAAACCTCCCAAGTACCTGTGCCTCAATACAAAACGCGACGTAAAACCGAACATGTGATGCAACAGAACCGACCGCAACTTGACATAAGAACACAGCAGATGCTCATATGTACATATGTATATAATTGTATTTATGTATACTATATTATGTGTATATATATATACACGTATATATATATATACGTGCATAGACAGAGTCAGATGCATGCATGTTACATATGTTACATGACCACGGTTCACAAAAGACAAACAGAAACCCAAAGACAAACATGGCAACTTCGCTTCGGCCGAAGGATTTCTGCGTGGTGTAAGGCTTTTGATCGTGTCTCGCTTCGCTTCCGTGGTCCGTTTCGGATCTGCTTTGCCCAACGACTGTGCGGCGTGTGGTCTCTGAATCTTTTCGAAATCTCAAGGACTGGTAGAAATGAGTAGAAAATGAGTAGAAAATGTTTAAAATGTTGAACTAGTCTTTGGGAAAACGGCCAGTTTCAACCACGCTTCGCGCCGGACTTTTTTTCTTGCCGCAGCTGGTGGTTTCTTGTTGATAATGGGTTGCTTAACCTCTAACCAAAAATTGAAGAAAAACATTGATGTCTGGCTAAGAAAGGGTTCAGAATAGTTTTTGGAATTTTTTTTTTTGCTCAGGTTTTGGAATTTGTTTTGGCTTTCTTTCCTGGTACCATTTGCCTTGTATTTGCAACAGTGTGGAACTAGAATCTGTCCTTTCGCATGGTATTTGCTACATTTTGGCATGGTTACTTTGCATTTTGCATGGTATTTGCTACATTGGGCCATGTTCGCCTTCCATTTTATATGGTATTTGCCACGTTTTGGCACTTCAACCTCTCATTTGCATGGTGTTTGCTACATGTTGATACTTCAAAAGTTCATGTGGCTTTCTTGAGAGTTTCTTTAGGCTTTCATTTAGGGTTTCATTTAGGGTTTCATTAGGATTTCATTTAGTGTTTCATTTAGGGTTTCATTTAGGGTTTCTTTTGGGTTTCTTTAGGGTTTCATTTAGGCTTTCATTTAAGGGTGTCTTATCAGGATTTCTTATCAGGATTTCTTATCAGGATTTCCAAACGTTCATGTGGGTTTCTTTGGGGCTTCTTCAGGGTTTCATTTAGGGTTTCTTTAGGTTTTCATGTGGGGCTTCATTTAGGGTTTCTTTAGGTTTTCATTTAAGGGTGTCTTATTAGGATTTCTTATCAGGAATTCCAAACGTTCATGTGGGTTTCTTTGGGGCTTCTTTATTCCAACATGGGAACCCCGCAACCAACAACATTTCAAAACTGTATAACTGATCTGAAAAAAGAATGTAGCCGAACTAAAGCTTGCCCAAGTGCTGCATCTTGCTGAGGCTTGACGTAAAGGCGACTGCAATTTGTGACAACGTCTGCTTTTGAATCAGATGGATCCTTTGTAGTTTTGGGTCGCCCGCAAGCCCGGTCTTTCAAACTTGTGGGAAGACACATTTTTTTCAGTGAAGAAGCGCCAAAACCCCAGGACGGCGCTGCATATATCTTATTGATGTACCTCCAGTAAGGATGACCAGTAAGGATGACCATGACGTGATAATTTGTTTCTAGACTGTGTTCTTCCTCCCCTTGTCACGATAACTGTTGGCTGCTTGACATTTTAAGAACGATGGTAGCGTCAACGACAGGCACAAGACCGTCCGACGGAATAAGAGCGCAGTGCATCAAGTGGGATGAAAGGGATGCGAGGTACAAGCAGGGACTTGAAATGGCGTCAAATCCCAGGGACAGTTACTTGGCGTCAAAAGCCTTGAAGTCTTGTCAATTACTTTCGAAAAGCCTGGCTCTTTCGAGGCATGTCCAATCCATATGGAAAGTCGACATTGCTACCTACAGCAGTGACGCAGCGACCCGTGGCAGCTAGGACCCATGGCGCAGGATTCCTCGCAGATGGTCATTGCTATGGACCCGTGGATGCCCATCCCAAGAATCTCTGAAGAACGGCTATTCAGTAACTTCAGTAACCCAGTTTCGCCGCATTTGTTGGTTGAGTGCCAGACTCTACACACAGAATTCTGGTGTCGTTTTGTAAACCCCTGCATTTCCGAAATGTGACACACTCCCACTCAAAATAATGCACAAACTTTTTGGGCGGAGCCTGAGCACTCAGCTTTGCAGCTTCGCTGTGAGGATCACTGGCCAGGGAGAAAACCAATGAAGCAGTCTGACGGAATCACTTCAGACTATGATGACTTTGGAGTTTTTTGTGAAACCTCCCAGCTGGTGACTTCAGGCACAGGCACATCAGATCATGTCTCGTTTCTGAACATCATGGATTCATCTTGTAGTTTTTGTCCTTTCCACTGTACCGGTATAACTGTGTCCGTTCGTTCCTACACTGTATGAAATATGTCCAGGTACATATTCATAGTCATATTCATATTAATATTCACACACACATAAAAATGAGGATGTTTTAATTGCTGAGTGCCTGTTTTGTGCCTATGCTTGGCGCATAAGCGCGGAAAACTCTCCGTCACTTCTTGAGCAGCACTGCTCAGTCCTCGCCACCCTCCTGTCACAAGGCCACTCAGATCAACCCTCAAAACACTCAGTCACCACGAATCGCGAATCGGCAACAAACAACTGGCAGTTGGTTGGAACCCAAAAAACCAAGGCAAACAACTGCCAAAACCAAGGCAAAATCCCCCAAAAAAGGGCCAGGTGATCCCCGATCCAAGTCATCCAAGTCATATGGATGAGCATCTTAGCATTGAAACATATTGAAACCCATGGTGACTTGGGGATCCTCCCATTTTAAGAAACCCCAAAAATGCTCGGAGCCAGTCTGATCCAGTCTGTGGTCTCCTCCACTTCTTTCTTTTCAGGTTTTGCCGTTGGAACAAATGGCTCAGCTGCATCAACCACGGCCTGCACCAACTCGGCATGCCAAATCGGACGCACACGGACAGAAACATCGGTCGCAAGAGACATGGCGTTGGCTGAAAATGAAGTATTTCATTCCGGACAAACTGATGGTTTCAAAATGCTTAGAACTCCATTGTCCCCATAAAACTGGTCATGAAATGGTGATAAATCCATGATAAATCCCTCATTTTGGGACCGATGCCACGGAGTTTCCCAAGGCTGGGGATGGCTGGGGGCCTTCCACGAGATGTTTTTGGTCTTCACATCGGGGATGGTGGAGAAGCGCCAGTTTGGATCGTTCATTGGAGGCTGACCTCAGCGCGGACATGACAGGTTTTGAATGATCACAGGGTGAACACCCTAAACCCTAGACCCTAGGGTTTAGGGTTTAGGGTTTTAACCCTAAAATCCTTTGACCCTAAGATCCCCTAACCCTAAATCCTTTAACCCTAAATCCAGTAACCCTAAAATCCTTTAACCCTAAAATCCAGTAACCCTAAAATCCTTTAACCCTAAAATCGTCTGTCACTGGGTGATTCAAATCAAATAACATTGAAATGAATTTCGAAAAATGAAGTTCAATGTGGCAGGAAATCCCTCCAAATTGGGGTCCAGAGGACCCATATGGTTTTCTTGTAAAATCGTCCATTGAAACCACTAATCGTTATCCCAATATGCGGGTCAGCCCGGTTCTGGGTGTGCCAGGCGGTACTTGGTGTGGATCTCAGGGCTGATTCCGATGTCGTAGTTGGGCATATCTGCTTCCTGGCACACAACAAAGTCATTTGGAGCTTTCCAAAGTCATGGGCGTGATCCCCGAATCATCCAAGTCATTGGACCATGACTTGGTATTGAAACCCATGGTGACTTTCGGATCATCCATTTTTAGAAACCTCCATTTAGATCAATGGTTTAGAGAACATCATGTTAATGTTTCCTTATTCAAGCATTTGCTCCCCATTTTTGGACATACCAATAGACGAAGATCAAAAAACATTCAATCCAAAAAAAATCTCAGTTGGGTGAGTCTCTCATCGCTACAATGATTTTTTGCGACACCTGCCATGAGATAGTCAATTGGTCCCAGGTAGGCTCGAAAATATAGAGAGAGATAGAGAGAGAGAGAGAGAGATAGATAGATAGATAGATAGATGGATAGATAGATAGATAGATAGATAGATAGATAGATAGATTGATTGATAGATAGATAGACAGATAAGGAAAGATAGGATTAGATAGGATTAGATACGATTAGATAGGATTAGATAGGATAAGATAGTATAAGGCAGGATAAGATAAGATAAGATACGATAAGATAAGAGAAGATACGATAAAATAAATAGATAGGTAGATAGATAGATAGACCGATAGATAGATCGATAGATAGATAGACAGATAGACAGACAGACAGACAGATAGATAGATAGATAGATGGAGAGATAGACAGAGAGATAGAGAGAGATAGATAGATAGATAGATAGATAAGAAAGACAGATAGATAGATCGACAGATAGATAGATAGACAGAGAGGTAGATAGAGAGATAGATATTTAGAAAGATAGGTGGATAGATAGATAGCTAGATAGATAGACAGAGAGAGAGAGAGAGATAGACAGATCGATAGATAGATCGACAGATAGACAGATAGATAGATAGATAGATAGACAGAGAGATAGACAGAGAGATAGAGAGATAGATAGAGAGAGAGAGATGGAGAGATAGATAAAGAGATGGATAAAGGGATAGATATAAATATGGATCAAGATAGATATGGATAGATAAAGGTAGATAAGGAAAGATACAGATAGATACAGATAGATATAGATAGATATAGACAGATATAGATAGATATAGATAGATATAGATAGATATAGATAGATTTAGATAGATATAGATAGATATAGATAAATATAGATAGATATAGATAGATATAGATAGAAAAAGAGAGATATAGAGATATAGATAGATATAGGTAGATATAGGTAGATATAGATAGATATAGGTAGGTATAGATAGATATAGACAGATATAGATAGATATAGATAGATATAGATAGATATAGATAGATTTACATAGATATAGGTAGATATGGATAAATATAGATAGATATAGGTAGATATAGATAGAAAAAGAGAGATATAGGTAGATAAAGATAGATATAGGTAGATATAGATAGATTTAGATAGATATAGAAAGATATAGATAGATATAGATAGATATAGATAGATATAGATAGACATAGATATAGACAGATATAGGTAGATATAGATAGATATAGGTAAATATAGATAGATATAGGTAGGTATAGATAGATATAGATAGATATAGGTAGGTATAGATAGACAGATAGATCGATCGATAGATATAGATAGATATAGATAGATATAGATAGATATAGATAGATATAGATAGATATAGATAGATATAGATAGATATAGATAGATATAGATAGATATAGATAGATATAGATAGATATAGATAGAAAAAGAGAGATATAGGTAGATAAAGATAGATATAGGTAGATATAGATAGATTTAGATAGATATAGAAAGATATAGATAGATATAGATAGATATAGATAGATATAGATAGACATAGATAGATATAGACAGATATAGGTAGATATAGATAGATATAGGTAGGTATAGATAGATATAGATAGATATAGATAGATACAGATAGACAGATAGATAGATAGATCGATCGATCGATAGATATAGATAGATATAGATAGATATAGATAGATAGATTTAGATAGGTTTAGATAGATTTAGATAGATACATAGATAGATATAGATAGATAGAGATAGATAGAGATAGATAGAGATAGATAGAGATAGATAGAGATAGATAGAGATAGATAGAGATAGATAGAGAGATAGATAGAGAGATAGATAGAGAGATAGATAGATAGATAGATAGATAGATAGATAGTTAAATAGATAGATAGATAGATCGATCGACAGATAGATAAGGTAAGATAGGATAAGATAGGATAAGATAAGGTAGGCTGACAGATTGACAACTTGACAGATTGACAGATTGATTAAAACAAAAAAACGATACATAAAGATAGATGAACATACATAAAGATAGATAGATAAAGATAGGCAAAGATAGATATTAATAGATAAAGATAGATCAAGATAGGTAAAGATACAGATAGAGAAAAATAGAAAAAGATAGAGAAAGATAGAGAAAGATAGATAGATGAGTGAGACATTTAGATTAGATTTTGACTACATATACACATATATAATATACAATATACAGTGTATGACACTACCATTAGCCTTGAGGTCACCTCCCATCCCGGTCCCTTCAGACCTCGATCTTCACGCGCACTTCGCCCTCAGGCTGGACGGCATCGGGCTTCTGCAGGTGCTTGGGAATTTTGATCACCGCCTCGACAGCTTGGCAAGGCGAGCTAAGGCGAGCTGGCATGATTTCATGGTGATCTTTGACTTCGTGGGGTTTCATGTGGAATTTACATGATTTAAGCAACAAAATGCGAACTTCCTGGGACTGCATGGTGATATCCACGGTGCTATCATGGGGTCAAAATAGATGTGTACCCTCTGGTTGTTTGTGACGCTTTGTGATGGAAAATTGAAAAATTTGGTTTGGTGATGAACATGGTGATTCACCGGCGAAAAATGATGATTTTCCCTAGCTATGCTAGTTGACCAAAGGGTATGGGATAGAATGGGGATCTGAACGGATTAGAAAATTCTGGCAATCTAAGACTTTGCCACGGAAAACATGGCCACTAGGCCATGTTCACCAGTAGTACCGCACAAAGCGGCGGCGGAAGTTTCAAAAATAGGAAACCTATGAAAGGTTGGTTGTTGTGAATCACGGATGGCAGAGCGAATCCACTGATGGACCGGCAAGTGATTGGAGCTGTGTTTTTTGGAATGGTTGCAATGGTTGCACTGGTCACCTTACCACAACTGCTCGATGTAGTGTGGCGTAGTGCAGTTGTAGTTGTAGCTGCAGTTGTAGCTGTAGTTGTGGTGTAGCGTAGTGGAGCTGTAGTTGTAATGTAGTGTCATTAGCGTAGTTGCATGCGCAGTTGCAGTTGTAGTCGTGGTGTGGTGTAATTAGTGCAGTGTAGTGCAGTGTAATGTTGTGTAGTGTAGTGTGGTATAGTGTAGCGTAGTCTAGTGTACGGTAGTGTAGTTGTAGTTGTAGTGTAGCGTAGTGTAGCGCAGTGTAGCGTAGCGTAGCGTAGTGTAGTGTAGCGTAGCGTAGTGTAGCGGAGTGTAGCGTAGTGTAGCGGAGTGTAGCGGAGTGTAGCGGAGTGTAGCGTAGTGTAGGGTAGTGTAGCGTAGTGTAGGGTAGTGTAGCGTAGTGTAGCGTAGTGTAACGTAGTGTAGCGTAGTGTAGTGTAGTGTAGTGTGGTGTAGTGTAGTGTAGTGTAGTGTAGTATGTGTAGTGTAGTGTAATGTAATGGTAGTTGTAGCCTGTAGTTGCAATGTAATCAGTGCAGTGTAGCGCTGTGTATTGTAGTGTGGTTGTAGTTGCAGTCGTATTTGTAGCTGTAGTGTGCTGCAATGTAATTAGTGTAGCGTAGTGTAGTTGTAATTGTAGTTGTTGTTGTAGTTGTTAGTGTATTTGGTGTAGTGTAGTGTAATTAGATGTAATTAGTGTAGTGCAGTGTAATTAGTGTAGTGTACAGTAGCGTAGTACATTTGTAGTTGTAGCAGTGGCGATGCGCAGTTCTAGTTGTAATTGTCTATCTATCTGTCTATCTATCTGTCTGTCTATCTATCTCTCTCTCTCTCTCTCTCTATCTATCTGTCTATCTATGTATCTACCTATCTATCTGTTTATCTGTCTGTCTATCTGCAAGCTTGAAACTTCTGCGATACTTCCTCAATTTTTGAACTTGACAACATCAAAATCGAAAGAATCAATTCTGCGAGACTTCCTCAGTTTTTGAACTTGACAACGTCAAAAACGAAACAAGTCTGCGAGACTTCCTCAATTTTCGAAGTTGACAAGTGCAAAAAACGAAGCAATTCTGCGAGAGTTCCTCATTTTTCGACGGTGACAACATCATAAACGAAACAATTCTGCGAGACTTCCTTCAAAAATGGAAAGTTGGGTGCAGAGCTGGCGGCCTCGTACCAACGCGTTTTGCGATGTTTCCACTCCACCTGTCTAAAGCACTGCGCCTGCCACGAAAAAGTGATGCCAGGTCATACGAAGTGCTGCACCTGTCACGCAAAATCATCTCAGCAAACCTGAAGATCTGATGCTCCAAAATGAAACCCGTCTCAGGAAATCAGCGCCCAGACCTCCTAACAGCTCTGATGAAGATGTCTCTTGTACTGCGCCTGCCACGCGAAATGCATCTTTCCAGATCCTCTGCAAATGTCACGCGCCTGCCATTGTTTTTGGAAATGCTACAAAACCCTCACGTTTTGCTCACTTTTGGCAAGGTGCAGAATCCCTTGCGCCTGCCACGCGAAACGAGATCTGAACCTTCTTCAAAAGTGGTGCGAGAAAGGGGTGTTTTTAACATGTTGGCTTCGAAATGTGCTTCGCACTTTTTCATCATCTCAACTTCCAAAAGTGGTCCGATCATTGTGTGCTTTGTACATTTTGGCTTGGAAACGTGCTTCGCACCACAACGGCGTGCACTTTTTCATCACACAACTTCTAAAAGTGCTCCGAAGCTGAGATGTTTTGTACATTTTGACTTCGACATGTGCTTCGCGCCACAGCGGCGTGCACTTTTCCGACGTCTCAACTTCCAAAAGTGGTCCGGACCTGGTGTGTTTTGTACATTTTGACTTGGAAATGTGCTTCGCGCCACAGCGGCGTGCACTTTTTCGACATCTCATCTGGCCAGCGGGCTCCGCACCCGCCACTTTAGCGAGCCTACTTTTCCACCCTCCGGAGCCACAAATCATTGGAAAAACACCGTGTTTTGCGACTTTCCTACCTTTTCGCGCACCTGGATCTTCTTGCTTGAGAGACTTTCTCTTTTTTGATCTTCTTTCTTCTTCTCTTCTCTTTCCTGACTCATCCCATTTTGAACAGTTCATCTGTCCATATTGTCGGAAGTTTGACTTCTAAACTTCCTTCAAATAGCTAAATCATCTACACATGGGGCATGATCCATGACTATGTTAAATTGCCGGAAGGATTCATAGGACAAGTATCTGCAATTTAAAAATTCGAGTTCTAAGTCCTTCAGACATAGGACACAAACCTGGCTAAAGCTGCAGGCTGTGGGTGTGGGATTCCTGTAGCGTATTCATACCTGGCAGTGGAAAATTCTCCAGTCACATCTATTTCGTCTATATCTAGTATTGTGATTTTCCGAGAAATATCAACACCGGTATATTCTTTTCTGATCTAACATGTTGATTCTCAGAGACTAGAAATCGTTTCGCGTAAAACTGGAAGTCCCATATTGAAATCCATAAAATGAGGGTTTTTCTTTCCAAAAAAAATTGTCCATACAGAACCCAAATGATTCTCCCGTAGATCCGAAGATCCCATCCATGTTTTCCCATACTTTTTTCCATCTTTTTTGGGGGTTTCCATAAATAGGGCTACCCATAAATAATCCATTTATAGATGGTTTTTTCCCGGAAAAAAAAAAAAAACATCCAGCTATCGGGGTACCCTCAATTTAGGAAATCCCCTGACATGTTTCCATTCCCCCATTTCCCCCATGTGTTGGATGCCGCCTGATTGGCATGATTCATTTCTTGCATCCCGACGAAGCCATAGGCATTGGCGGAGATCACGATGACATGGTCCTGGCGGATGCGCCCGCAAGGGCTGGCTGGGTGGTTTTTGAATGGCCTACAAGGTAGCCTAAGTTGTAGTTGGTGGATGGATGTGAAGAAATATGATAAAATATGTCAAAATATTGGTATTTCATAGGTAACTTGACCCTAACTTGACCCAACCAAATGCCTTTGAAAATGATGAAATGTTGATTGAACCGAATTGAATCTCTCCGGTCTGATCTTCGATTCACTAAATCAGCCCGCAAAGTAAGTATCTAATATGATCTAATAACTTGGCCAGGGGTTCTGGGGATTTAATGTTACTGTTAACTCACTGATTTTGGCCCAAACATAGCTGGAAGATAGTGACATCGTCATCGTCCGTCGTCCTCTTCTTGGAACTTCACAAAGCCAGGGTACTTCTCTGCCCACTCGTACCAAGGAATAGGTTCCTCAATGATGGCATGAGGGAAATTGTCAAAAACTGCAAAGGTGTCTCCTGGCAGAATCTCTGCATAATCCCCTCCATCAACATTTGCTCAAAAGCATGGATTTCACAAACACAAGATCGAAGGAAAAAAGACACATACCTGACTCATCTGACTCCTCCCCAGAAAAAGAAAGGAAAAACAATTGGTTTAGTCTTGGACTCGGACCCATTCATCTTGTCCGCAAAATGCAGGGATTTTTGTTGAGGCCGAGATTCACCATCCATCAGTTCTTCCCGGCCACCAAGCACTTCAACATGTCGTTTGGGATCTGGGATCATGAAGCCCTCAGGAATGTAGCCTCGGCAACATTCAGAACCCAGTGATAGACCCGGAACCTCCCAGTTCAATGGTTTTAAGTCACAGCCAATCACTACAATACAAGTTTTTTCTGGTTTCAATCAACTTGACTATGAGTTTTTCGACCTCTTCCATGGGCTGTGTTTTTTCCCAGCAAAAAAAAACTGTCAGCACCAATCAGTTTGAGGCCACCGGGTTTGAGTTGCAGGCTGTCTGGAGACGTTTTCGCGGTGCCTGACCTGGGGTGAGTCCCGGGGGGTCAAACCCAAAGATAAACTCAACCATCATTTTTTGCTTGAACTACGACTATAACTATAACCGAAAAAAAATTGGGGTCAACCAGCAATAGTCCTCCAAATTAGACCATTTTAGTGTTGAAACCAATGGTTTTGGGGGATGACAGAATCTTACTTGTGCTTAGTCAGAAATGGGGGAATGGGATGATTGTTAATAGTTGTGGATTGGGTCATTCCCCCAGTCCCTACTAAGCACCAGCAAGTCATTTCTGTTGGAGCTACAACTAAAGTCTAAAGAAAAACATGGGTGTCAACCAGCAATAAGAACAGAACCAGCCATCTCAAAACCTGGCAGCGTCAAAATTGCTGCAGGGGACCTGCATGCACAGCTGATTTTATTATATTCAACTGGGATCTTGACATTGTCCAAATGAACTTTTAGGGGCTGCACGACATTCGCGCGCCAAAACGCCATGTTGACAGGAACCTAATAAACACGAGACATAGTTGAACCCCTACCCTTTGTCCATTGCAGTTTGCTGAGCGTCTCCCACCTCCCACGAGCACGCTGGCCCCTCATCTCTGCAGTTGGCTTGACAGCGCCTCACGCGAGAAGGCATTCCCCAGTCATAGTTCAAAATTTTGTAGGATACAATTCCAGTAAAAGTCAAGTTATTGGGTCACAAGAAAAATTGCACTGCTTGCACTCATCGTTTTCACACCATGAGTTTTATCCAGATCCCATCATTTCCGCAGAAAACTGAGAGGAGCAACTCACTGTGACCCGTTGAGCTTGCTCGTCGATGCGAACCACATAAACCTAGGTGCACGGTTTTTGGTGCATCGTGTCACAAAATATTGGGGGTACCCTTTAGGATGCCCATCAAAAAATTGAGGTCCAATCACTTCGAAAAATGCTTCCGATAATGCCGGAAATGGCGAGGAAATCCCTAGCAAACTGATTGCAAATGGATCCAGGGTGGCTACCAAATGGGTCACGTTCCTGAACCATCTGATGCTTGCATAGCTCATACTTGCATAGGCTCAAAGATGTGGCCTCAATGGACACATCGGGTGACTTTTGGAATTCAACCATCCAATTCTGAGATCGAGAGAATATTAGTGCCTTAAACCCATCTGTGTTTTGTTTTTGTATTCAACCAGCCATAAGATACTTAACTCTAGTACTAGACCATCTCAAACCTATATATATATAAATATACTGTATATATACATAAGCAATATATACTATACCTATCAGCCATGGCAATTTCCACATTAAACCAATATTGACCCCATCTTAAACATCTGAGTCTTCTACCTCGAGCTCTTGGTTGGGCTTGAAGGCGGCACCGGTCTGACCGGACAGTTGGAGAGCACCCCGGGAAACCCGGTCGTTTATATAACAGCTATGGAAAATGACCCATTTACAGATGATTTATATATGATATACAGGAACAGTTTGAGATGGACAATGAATGACAATGAGCCATTTAGTTCGATGAATTTTGATGATTTACCTGTTCAAAATGGTGTTTTTTTGCATTGCTACGTTTGATTACCAGAGCATATATCTTAAATCAAAACCCTGGTGTAGTATTGGAAGGTATCTGGAGAATCTAGGGGGAAGGGATTACAATCAGGAAATAGAACTCACAATGTCTCCTAATTTTAGCTGTGAATTTGCGTTTCGGGGTGGGTATCCCCGATAGAAATCCACTGTCAAATTGACTCTGTGGCTTGGGGCCAAAATTGTGTCCAAGAAAAAAACAAAACTATGCCACAAATCTCGCAGTACTCGCTTTTTACCAAACAAGAAAACATCATATTTAGATCACGCTGGATTACTCCCTGTTTCCTGTCCATTCGAACCAACAAGAAACAAGGATTTCTGCTAGGCCGCTAGATATATCCTGATCCCTGATTAGTCAGAACTGAGTCAGACCTCGTCTCCCAACCTTGTCTCCCATCATGGAATTCGGCATCAGCGCATCTGTGCGTCCGAGGCCGATGTCAACAAACGCACCGTAGTCCTGTCACCCAAAAACGACATCGTTGGACCCATAGTCATCCTTTTACCGGGGGATAGAAGTATAGAAGCACTGAAAAATATGGATTTCTTTGAATATACGAACCCCCTAAAACCATTAGTTCATCCTCATGTTCCAAATTAAATGGCTGTAATTTGGGGATCCACATTTTTCGGACTCATCGGTCCCGAACGCCACGAACCACCTCGGGGCCGATGATTCTGGTGGACACAGAGATGGAAAGGGGAAAAAAATGTCGAGGAAAAAGCACCCCCTAAATGGAATTCTCATTATTTTATGACATGGTGCCGAAATGACAAGGAAATCCATGTTTTCCTTCATTTTTGTTTCCATGTCCAATGGACAAAAGGTGATTGATTTTGGCGACGGAATTCACTCCCAGTGACTTGACCATCTTGACCGAATCCTCAACAAATCGGAAAAGAAGTCAGTATAGAAATCCTCCAAAAAATCATCGGAAAAATCGACCGTTCTCCCATTTTTTGATTTTTGTTGAGCCCTCCAAATGGCCACGGCGCATGGCCACGATTCGTCTGAGACTCCGGACTCCCGGGATGGGTTTCCCTTCCTGGCGTGAGGTTCTCTGGAAGTCTGGCCATTGATCCATTTTGCTTTTAGGCAACCAGGTTTTTCAAAATTGGGGAAATGATGGCCAGATGTTACCTGATTTCCTGATTTTCTGGATTCAACCCTGGTCAAAACATTGGTTTTCAGGGTAAGGATCGCTCAGTTCGCCTCAAGGTCGCTGAAGGAGATGCGCGCAGCCGATGATTCTGCGCCCTCCTTCTCAGAGACCTTGGTCGGATTTTTTGTTGGCGCAAGATTGGTCTGAAAATAGGGTATAGCCTCCATTAAATTGCAATTTTTAATGGGTGGTTATAAGGATTAACCAGTGGATTTGGACCATCAACAAGTCTTAGACGACGAAAACAAGGTAACCAAGGAGCTGTGACCAACAAAGCAGAAGGGGATCTGTTGATGACTTGCTACTGGTACCATCTTGTACCTCAAAGTGGACTTAGGGGTCCGCAAAAGATTCGGACATCTATTTCAAGGATGTTATGGTTGTTATAGATGATTCCCTCTGCATAATTTGCAGGCTTCCAGCTTTTCCAATCCCTTTCCCTAACATTAAATACCACCCCATTGAAACCTTTGAAGGCACCCATCCAATTGGTTGACCTAACTTTTTGGCTGTTCATATCCCACTTTCCCTAGACCACTGGTGGTTAGAATCCTTATATATAATATATATAATATATAATATATGTATATAATATATATATATATAATATATATAATATATAACATATAATATAATATATATGATATATGTATATATATATAATATATATAATATATAATATATAATCTAATATAATATAATATAATATAATATAACAGATATAATAGATATAATAGATATAATAGATATAATAGATATAATAGATATAATAGATATAATAGATATAATAGATATAATAGATATAATATGATATAATATATATAATAGATATAATAGATATAATAGATATAATAGATATAATAGATATAATAGATAATATAATATAATATAATACAATATAATACAATATAATATATATATAATATTATATATACTGTATAATATTATATATATACTGTATATTATATACTGCTTAACATCCCATTCAATGTGGCTCATATTCCCCATTGTGAGGTGATTCATATCATACATATCCCATATTTTGCTGATGATTGGTGGTGTTCAATCCCAACAATAAGGCTATGGCTATGGCAGCTATGGAAAGTCCCAGCGGTTGTCAGGAGCCAAAAAGCATGACCAGAAAGGTACCCAGCTGGGCAAAGCTACAGAAAGATGTGAAAAAAGAAAAAAAACATGTGTAGATGATGTTCCACGGGGTTCACGAAGGGTTTTCCACATCTTTCTGTGGGGGAAACCCAAGGGTTTTTTTGCAACGTAGTGGTTAAAACTTCACTGGTGAATCAACCATGAATGGTGGTTAAAACTTCGACATCTTATGGTTAATCACCATTGCTACCCTAGGTTAGCCCGTTGGTTTTGGCTGAGACACCGAGATCTGATTGCTGGAGGGGTTCAGGCGGCTGATCTGCAACTTCTCTAAAGCCTCTGAAAAAAATCAGATGGCTGGGAGTAGAACATGTTTGGATGACTTTCCTTTAAAAAAATGGAAATGATCCAGTTGTAGGATTCTGTTTCGGATTTTTGTTAGTTAACTTTGGGCATTCTTGGTCCCAAACCATCCAGTTTTGATCCATCTCTCCCCCATGCGTGATCAAATCCGGGAAACACTTTGGGGGGAAGTAACTTCCACTTTTTTTCCGATCCCCAAATTTTACTGTCTGAAAACCCATCCAATTTTGGGGGCTGAATTTCCCCATCGCTGTCTGGGCTATCATTATCGACCATAAAAAAAGCTCAAGGAGGAAAGCAATAGCCGCCTCGCCCTCTTCGTATTCTTCCAGAGGTTTCTCCAGTAAAGCTGATGGAAGCAAAGCATCCACACACCTCGAACAGATCGATTCTTTTGGACTTTGACTTCAAAAAATCCTTTCAATATTTTCTTGCACCTCTCTATCCAAAACCCAAATATAGTATATTAGAGTGTTGAAACATGTTGAAACCTCAAAAATCTATAGTGGATTAGATATCTTCTCCTCATGTCCCCCATGATTTCCCTCCTCCTTTCTCGGCCCCTGACGCGCCAATGTCCACGAAGAGGCCGAAGGGCATCTTTTTGGTGACCTGATCCAGTAGGAAAACCCACCCCCTTTTTCCCAAGCAAAATATAGGAAAATATCTGGAAAATCATCTATTATAGTATAAATTGGGGATGATATAAATTAACCCAATCATTCGGGAATAAAATCAGAAGATCTACTGGCGATATTTACTGGTATATCTTGGGAAAACTATTGGGAAAATTCTTTACTATAGGAGATATGTTTTAGCAATACAGGTTTTGGGCCTTGTCTGGAAAATGTTGAAAAAAAAACAATTCCATTTAGTCAATGACACAATGGGGGATACATTATGGGAATTAATGGGAAATATATATATATACCACCAACAATCTAACATATTCTATAGGTGATATACTATCTATTAATAGCTACATCTAACATGATCTCACTATTAAATAGAATATTGTCCGCAATCACCAACCATCTAACATATTCTATAGCCTTTGGTACCTAAAAATTCAGGGGAAAATCCCATTCCACTTAGGCTTTTCAGCATGTCCTCAATGGCTTGACCCCCCAAATCAGCGATCTCCCAATCACTGTCAGCGCTCCGAAAAGTTCGATCCCCAGGCCGAAAAAAAATCCAAAAAATCGTTGATATTGAAATATCCCAGATATCCCTACAGGATGGTGCCCCCCAGTTATAAGTTGGTTTATCAACCCCATTAACTATAGTTATATCTACCATAAACCATAGTTATGGGAGTTATAAACCAACTTAGCTAACTATGGGGCACCACCTTGTATATCAAATGGAGTCAAAAAATCCATACAACTATCACCATATAGTTATCGATTACAATCATTATCCAAAAAAAAATTGGAGTCAAAAAAATCCCAATACTGGATTGAGAAAACTCAACGATCAGACAACTGTCAGAACGAAAAAACCCTGCAGCTTTTTTCGCTACGCACCTTGCCGGTGACCTCATCCCCGACGTTGAAGTCCGCGGCACCCGGGCGCATGGAAACGCCCAGCCGTTGCCGCTCTGGGTCCACCTAGGAAAACCACACAGGTCACGTTTTTGGTGGGTCAAATGTGGGAAAATCCCATGGGATAACCAAAAGGACCATGGAAAAGGACATCAAATGTGGGAAAATCCATATTTCTCCATGGTTTCTGGAAAATCATAATTGAAACCAAGAGAAATGATGATTGAAACCAAGGGAGACTATATATGATTAATATGATATATGATAAACAAAGCCGTAATAAAGGCAGAATATTTATGTCAAATTACATGGTGTTTGTAAATCTCAAATGAAATCAAAATCCCATGATGTATTTATATATCATATCCACCAGGATTTTTTGTACCTGGGGATGTCATGGAAGTCCCAATCACTGTGGATCTAGGCAACGATCTGGGGACGTTTTCTAAATTATGGGACTTGGGGAAACAGCGTCGTTTCACCTGACAGTGTACCGATCTACCCTCAGGTTATGTCAAAATAGCTATTGAAAATGACCCAGTCGAAATAGTGGATTTTCCCATTAATAGCATGGTGGATCTTTCAATAGCTATTTTGACTTAACCAGAGGGTACTATCTATCTTTTGAAATCCTAACGATTTTGGGGACCCAAACTATCTATGGCCCCAAACTTCGGTTCTCATTAGCTTCGGGTGAAAATTGAGGAAACCCCACAAACCATGGAGTTCCCCATTGAAAAATGACCAGTAAAAATCCCAGTCACTCAGACAATTCTAAGGGTCCCCCATTTTTGGGACAGCCAACAATGGCAGTGGTGGAGTGCCACGAGCCCATCAACCCTGCCTCAGTCACTCGAAGGCCTGACAGGGCGCACCCGGAAAAATATCAACATCTGGGGGGTTCTTAAAATGAGGAATCCCCAAGTCACCACCAGTTTCAATACTAAAATGCTCATCCATGACTTGGGGGTACCCCCATGACTTAGGAAGCTTCCATCTGGGCTGTAACAATTGGGAGGTTTCAATCCAAACATGGGCAAGTCGGGTCAGCCGTGCTGATGAGACATGGCCTGAAAGCTCCATTCCCTCCTGGTACTCCTCAAGCTTCTTCTCCAATTGACCCACCGCCTACAGTCAACAAATCTACCACCTGAGCCCCCGATAGAAAGACTTGTCTCTTTCACTAGGATTGGAAGATATTGGAACTACCACAAGCAGCCTTTACCATGGTATACTTCGGAGAATCATACCAGAGTCCTGGTTCTGGTATGATTATTAACTATTATAGTTCCAATGATCACCAGTTTGTCAGTTAACCAGATTCTAAACCATGGAACTATTCTGGTACCCTCTGGTAAACAAACATAGCTATTGAAAATGGCCCAGTCGAAATAGTGGATTTGTTCCATTAAAATGGTGATTTTCCATAGCTATGTTAGTTTACCAGAGGGTATGATCATCAACACCTGATTCTTAAGCCACCAATGGTGTTTTCTATGAATATCAACTATCAACCAGTGCTGAGGTCATGACATAGAGGGCATCCCGCTCAGCACCAATGTCCACGAAGACACCTGCAAAAGGAGCCATCCTTTTCAAAGGTGATTTTTGGATGGAAACACGTCCAGGTTTCTAGAAATTGCGACAAATCACTTTTTGGGGAACATTTGTCCATTTTCATCCATATTCCTTGGGGTTGATACATTTTTGGGGACCCCATTTTTTGGTGTGCGCTCATTGAAGATGCGATCCAGCTGCGACCAAGCAACCAAAGGCCATAGCTTTGGTCACCGTGCCGCTAACTTCTTGGCCAACCTCCGAAAAAAAAAAAAAAAACCAAGCATTTTCCATCTGATTTTTGGTGGTGTCAAGTGTGTCTGAAAATGGGGTGTATACCCCCTGGTTGTGGCCAATTCAATAGGGAAAATGATCATTGGACCAATGGAGGTCGCACATGTGTTCAAAGCCCCCCTGGTGTATGGGTCAAAACATGGGATTTTTATGGTTTATGGTCATCCATCCCATCTTGGGAATCCTTATAATGGTTATTTTATGTGTGTATAATATATATATATATATCATATATATCATATATATCATATCATATATATATATCATATATATATACCATATATATCATATATATATATATCATATATATCATATATAGATCATAAATATATCACATATATATATATATCATATATATATATATATCATATATATATACCATATATATCATATATATATATCATATATATCATATATATATCATATATATATATCATATATATATACCATATATATCATATATATATCATATATATCATATATAGATCATAAATATATCACATATATATATATATCATATATATATATCATATATATACCATATATATCATATATATATACCATATATATCATATATATATCATATATATCATATATAGATCATAAATATATCATATATATATATCATATATATATATCATATATATCATATATATATCATATATATATATATATCATATACATATCATATACATATCATATACATATATATATCATGTATATATCATATGTATATATATATCATATATATATATATATATATCATATATATATATATATCATATATATATATCATATATATCATCTATATATCATCTATATATCATATATATCATATATATCATATATATCATATATATCATATATATCATATATATCATATATATATATCATATATATATATCATATATATATATCATATATATATATCATATGTATCATATATATCATATATATCATATATATATATAATATATATCCATATGAAAATGGATTGATGACGAATGCCAAATCATTGTGGGAAAACAACCTATGATAACCTATGATAATTGGCCATGGCCATATCACCATTTTCGGCGGTCACCTTGAGGCTGGCCATCGAGATGCCTCAGTTGCATCATGGGTTTTTCCCATGGAAAATCACCATCAAAAATGGTGGATTTGTCCTAATGGAAAATCATAGCGAATGGAAAAGTGGTACCCTCTGGTAAACTAACATAACTATGGAAAATCACCATTTTTAATGGGAAAATCCACTATAAATGGCCATTTTTAATGGCTATTTTGACATCACCAGAAGGTAGGTTTTTCCCAGTTGTGATTTGATGATCAAACATGGTGGATGTTCATCATACAATCGTCCATAGCTGCCATAGCTCTGACCTGTGGTCCCTGCCGGACTCCACAATTTCGGCTCCTTCCAGCGACACCTGGACCATCCCATTGGACTGGCGTTTTTGCTCGATATTCTTTCAGATCCAAATATCATTTGGTTAGTTTCTATGTCCAAAGATATCCCGTGTATATCCAGGGTCTCATGCAGCCTGTGAAAACCTTTCCAGGGATGGTGGCAACTTCCCATGTCAACACAGGATGAATTGACAGTAATATATTGGAGTTATATGATCACTGATTTGGGATCCAATATTTGTCATCATCCCGGCTTCATTAATCCAGGCTTGACATGAGTTCGCTTTGTGAATGATTCGTTTATCCACAGGGATAATAACAATCACAGCCGTGGTGACAGTGACCGCCGGCTTGAATCCCCCAGTCAATGCCCATGGACCCACAACAGCAGTTTGAGTCACCATGGACCCATCTTCACCGCAAATCCAGTGGGAAGAGGTAAACAAATCACCAAACAGAAGCCTTTGTCGGCATGTTCATCCATTTTTTGGTTTGTTCAAGTTCCAAGTGCTGCTGAAAGGATTACCCTCTGGTAAACTAACATAGCTATGGAAAATCATCATTTTTAATGGGAAAATCCACTATTAATGGCCATTTTCAATAGCTATTTTGACATAACCAGAGGGTACAACTGTTGCCATCAAGATCTGGGCTCAACAGGTTGCCTCCAAGATCTGGGCGACAGGAGCAACCTTCATGACAATAAGCCCTGTGACCTGCAGCTGTCCATCCAACCACCCATCTGTATATATGTTGATGTAATACCTCAATATACATCCATCTATGTATATATATATATGTGTGTGTATGTGTAGATGGAGAATCAAATATACATATATATATATACATATGTATATATATATATACATACTAATTATATGTATATATACAAATTATAATGTATATATATATATACTGTATATGTATATGTATGTGTATATATATATACTGTATATGTATATGTATGTATGTATATATATATACATATGTGTGTATGTGTACATGTAGATACAAATATATATATACATATATATATATATGTATATATATATACACATATGTGTATATATGTGTGTGTACGAGTTGATCTCTCTATATCCTACATATATATATATATACATACTAATTATATGTACATATACAAAATATAATGTGTATATATATATATATACACTGTATATGTATATGTATGTATATATATATATATTATATGTGTTTATATGTATATGTATAGGGGAATCCAAATCAGATTCGAGTAGCGGACAAAATTATATGTTAAATTTAATGCCATACACAAATTAGGGTCGTCCCCTAACGGTTGTGAGGATTTCAGTACTCCTGGAGGTATCACAAATGGGGTATCGGTATAGGGTCGTCCCCTATCGGTTATGAAGGTTTTGTGCAACCTCAGAAAGGCCAAGGCGAAGCAAAACTAAATTAGTATCATAATAATTTTGTCCGTGGGGTCTAAAATTTTCGGGCTTGAAACTCAGTCCAAGATCGGGTCAATGCTCTCGCAGAGGTTTTCCCAACGGAACCTCCTCACCGGGCTGGTACTCCTATGGCAACGGCCCAGGAAATACGTCGTAACGTCATGGTGAGATCATGAGATCATTGTTTTTGTGATTCAAACGCTATTTGGGGTTGCACCTACTTTGAAACCCAAGATTTTTGGGGTTATGTAACGTTATGTAGTTTGAAAACATAGCAGTTTCCCTCTTTGAGCTTCATCGCTAGGTTCCACACGTTTGACCGTCAAGCCATTCGAATACCCTCCAGTAGTACATTAATATCCATGCCGCCCTGACCTTTTCATTAAAAAAAAACTTAATGTTCCATTCACAGCTCGGATTTCTGAGGGCAAACACCTGCTTTTGCATCTGGGTTTGTCGGACAAATAGGTTACCCGAAAAATATTTCTGGCTGATCATATTTTCTTCCGAAATTATAGTGACATTGGCCATTTGGGAGATCCCTCATTTTCAGACCAACCCAAACATAAGATTGGTGTTTATATATATATAGATATATATATATATAGATATAGATATACACCATATATTCCATGATATTTCTCTCGCCATCACATCCCCATGGTGGCCCATGCTTGGTTGAATCCCCAGCTTCGTTGGCTCCTTGATATCCTTGGGTGGAAGTGTGGCACCCAATCCCTTGGTTCGCCAGGTGGCGGCCTGAAGCATTTCAGAATTTGATGATGTTGTTTGCTTTGTCTGAAAACAGGGTCTACCCGGGTCTACCCAAATCCCAACCCAAATCCCATGCTTTATCATCATTTTCCCTGTTATGGTCTGGTATTGTTATATGTTGTTGTTGTTGTTGTTGTTGTTGTTGTTGCTGTTGTTGTTGTTGTTGCTGTTGTTGTTGTTGCTGTTGCTGTTGCTGTTGCTCTAGCTGTTGCTGTTGTTGTTGCTGTTGTTGTTGTTGTTGTCGTTGTTGTCGTTGTTGTCGTTGTTGTCGTTGTTGTCGTTGTTGTTGTTGTTGGTGGTGGTGGTGGTGTTGGTGGTGTTGGTGTTGGTGAAATACCCTCCTTTCAGACACCTTATACTTATAGCAATCCCAAACAAAACATAGAAAAAGTAAACTCCTACTCAACTAGTGGTAAATCACTGTTCTATAAAATATTGATGGTTAGCAGCTCCGATAGAACATAGTTGTAAACCTGAGAACTATAGAGGGTTAAACAGTTAAACACAATCGAACTACCATCCTGGAACAACGGTTCGGTCTTTTTGGGGGTTACGACAGCTAGTTTTGACAAATCTCAAATGAAATTGGTATGTTCTTCTAATGATGATTTTGTTGCGAGTTCATCTGAAACATATCCGGAGAATAATCTAGAAATGGTGTAATAAACCAACCATTAAATTAATGGGATTAGAATGAGGATATAATGTGTATGTGTATATATATATAATTTTATATATATATATATAGTGTGATTATTATAACGTTGATGCATAACTAACAATATGATATATGGGTGTGTCAAATGGTGGTATATTTCCAAATGACCATCTGAGTGGAGAAAATCATGGTAAACCCCAGCAATATCCCGATTGGTGAGGTCAGTCCCCCCATTTACCTTCGTTTTCACACCAAAAGAGCTGTTGTTTACTGATCTTCATCCCCCACCATATCATATAACAATGTATAACATGTCTTGATCCATCCACATAGAGGTCTATTACGGTTTACCAATCCAAATGGCTCGCACGGAAGAAATTGTCGGACTACATTCCAACTGATGACTGAGGAATATGATCCCACGATTCATGATTAAATTCTATGATTCTATCACATGTTTGCCACGGAACACATCTAGATGATTTACCCTCTGGTAAACTAACATAGCTATGGAAAATCACCATTTCTAATGGGAAAATCCACTATAAATGGTAATTTTCAATAGCTATACGTTAAATTACCAGAGGGTACCAATTGCACTGGGAATTCGCCATTTTCTGGATGGCTCTTGTGGGTTCATGTTCAACACCCCAACATGTTTGTTCAAGTTTCCTATTTAATTAGCTGTGTCTGAACATGAGGTGTATCATGCACACATCCAAAATTGCTACGTATTAAGGAAAATGATGACTCTCAAGCCGAACTCCCATACATGTTCAGGTACTAAACCCATATTTCATATTTGTTGGTTATATGTATCCCAACAAAAAATCCCAAAAAAATCTGTTGGACAATCCCCATTACCAAATAAAATCCCCAAAATATCACCAAGAAACAAAACCTCTTTGTATCCCCATGAAAAATCACCATTTTTGAAGGTTTCCGCAAGGCTCTTTGAGCCTTGGCAGCACCAATGTCCAGCAAGAGCCCATTGGGTTCAACCCTCACCACCTGCACAGAGATGTACACTTTTAGTAACCTCATGAAAAATCCTGTGGATATTTGGATATGTTGTATAACTATATGACTATATGGGATGAAATGTGCATACATATATTTTCTATAGGAATGGGATTTATTGGGAATTTTGGAAAAGGATGCTCTATTGGGATTTGATGGATTTATAGGAATAACGACATTGAGTTACCAGCTATGGATTGGATTTTTCTTGAGTAATTATAGCAACCCACAAAATAGATGGCTTGTCTGGAAATATCATGCCCCAAAATCCTATGGTTTATCCCCATACTCCCTAATTAAACTGCGGTAAATAGAGGGGTTTTTCACGGTATACCCCATTTTCAGACAGCCAACCTGGGAGTTATGGCAGGAACCCCAATAAAATGCAGAAAATTGACCACTAGATGTTGGAATTGGATTTGACTAAATTCTGTCTTTTTTTGGGGGGGTGCTATACAGCAACGGGTCGGTTCGGCCACATGTTGGAGGAGTGGTTTTCTTCATCCAAATGTAGTAACAGACATACAGTATGACATGTCCGTTCTCCAAATATCGCCTTGCGGAAATGCCCACATTCTGTTGCTTTCTTCTCATTCAAACATCCCAATCTCATCCCCTCCAAGCTTCTCACCTTGCCCGACACAGACTGGCCGCGCAGGAAATCCGTCAAGGGCTTGGGAATGTCCTGACTCGACGGCTGGTCTCAAGGTCCCATGGCGACGGTCATGGGAACCCCATGAAAAAAGTGGCCCATAAGTTGGGGAGTAGCACATCAACTTGCCAATTTTGGGATTGAAACTGGCCAGAACTTCGGGTATCCCTCATTTTTTGGACAAACCCACTGCAAAAGGCACAGTAGTCGACCCCCAGACCCCCGGTGCCTCCGGATTCTTGTCGGAGACTGTGACGCGGTCGCCATCAACTTGCGTGATGATCAGATCAGCAACCTCTTGTGGAGAGTACTCGTCCACAGGTTTGCCTGCGAGTTGCGAAGCCCTAAGAAAGCTGTGGAGTGGACATGTCGGTCATTTCAGCCTCGACATGTACATCCTGGATTCATAGATTGTCCTTCTCGATTGAATTTTCAACCCATTCCCCTGCTTGCCTCAACCTCTGAGGTCCCCGATCTCTGGGAGTATCTTATTTGCCACTAGTATCCAACTGTTGGTATTCAGCTATCTACAGAACGACATTTGATTGCCTTGACACTGTGGTACACTCAATAATAGACCATCCTCAATTTGGCTTGCTCATTGGGTATACCCTGGCCTTCCATGATGTAAAATGACCTCCCAAGAGTTGGCTACTGATGGTTTATAATAGGGGTTTACCATCCCATCCAATCTTGAACACCACCTAAATGGTCCCAAAAATGTGTAGGTTTCCTACCAAACCATGGTTTCTGGGATGTGTTGAATATCTCCCAGGCTTTCGGGATTCCCCACGCAGCAGTTGAGGAGGCGCCAACACATCGCTACTGAAGCCGGCATCGAAGAAAATGCCAGCCTTAACGAAAAAAGGCGACCGAATGGGGCTGGCCTAAGTGGGTACCCAGTCGGACCCAGTCGTCATTTTCGTTGTTTCACTAAGTCATGGTCATGACGACTGGATGATTTGGGATACCATGACTTAGGAAACCTCCAAATGTTCGCACAAAGTGTCATGGAGACGCGCAAACGACGAATTGCCCAAAGCTTTTCAAACGTTGCGACTCACATGGCTACTCATTTCCAGTCCTCATCAATATTTAATGAAACTTAGCATGTGCAATTCATATTCATGGCTACGGGTCAAACCAAAATGCTACCTTTCAGTTCACACCAAGCTGGTATGGCAGGATGTTCATACCCCAAAATGCGGTATTTTCCCGGTTTCAACTCATCCCCAATATGAAACCACACGACTTCGGGATATCCGCGTTGCGGATTTTTAGTGCTGCATGGAAACCCTGATCTGCGTCATCACCATTCCCTGCACCTTCTGGCCCACCTTGGCTTCAGACCTTGGCTTCTTGGTTTTGAACCGACAAAGTGATAGGTTCACCAGAATCAAACAAGATGATGTGGATTTGCTTGATTGGTTTCCAACAAAACAGTTCGCATGTCTTCACCAATTACTACTACAGTACAATTCCTGATTTTCTGTGCTTCGACCGCAAGCTGAATGAATCTTCAGGAGCGTGCGCCAAAGGTCGCGTGGTGACCTCCACTTTGTCGCCGTCAATCTTGCTAATTCGAAGGCCCTCAACCTTGTCCCCTTCCTGCAATGGCATTTGCTCGGGACTTGGTCAATAGCTCCCCCCAACCATCCCATGATGCCATGGCCATCCATGGCCTATAAAACCCAATTCCTCCATTTAAATGGCCATAACTTCGGGCATATCCACAAGTTTTGCCCATATCACAGTTATATCATGTTTTTCCATTTACAATATATATATATATTCCATGACATAGTTCCTCCCCACCATATCCCCACATTTCATGCTGGGTCATCCACTCCCGTTGTGCCGCAACAGCAGCGCCTTGTACATATCCAGATCCTTATCCAACTGATTGGTGAAGCAAAGGGCATCGCGCCCTGACCCGATGTTGAAGAAGACACCGTACCTCGACCGGCTTCAATGGAAGCATCGTCCGAAAATTTGTCGGGGAGAATGGGAAAGCCAAGGAAGCACAAAATTGGGGGAGTGCTCGGAGTGCTGATTCTAGATGTCCCACTATCTCCCATGACTAAAATACATATATTGCCATATTGGAAGAGATGCTAATGACACACCTTTGGAGGTGACAATGCAGGGGCACTGTTGGTTCACCCTCGCCACAGTGCCTTGAAGCAGTTGAGACTGGGGAAGGTCCCAGGGGTCAGATGTGATAACGGTTCAGCCACCCCTGAGGCAAATATCCAGTATAATCACCCCCGTATACATATATATATATATACATACATACATATATATATATAATATAGAGATATAGATATAGATATAGAGATAGAGATAGGGATAGATATAGATATAGATATAGATAGATATATATATATATATAGAAATAGAAATACAGAGAGAGAGATATATATATATAGCAAAGATCCAATCTGTCACTATTTTAGTGGGATTTTACCAACTTCAATCTAAGGGTTCCTATAATCTAATCTAATCTTTGATGGTTAATGACCCCGAAAAAGATAGAAAGCAACCTACCACTAGCTTAGTAGGATTCTACTTCTCTGCGTCATATCTTTTTGCGTTTGCATTAATGGTACTGTATATTTTTTTGCAAAAACTCGGGGGCTGCTACATGATTTGCCATTCACCTACTTGATGTTCGATGGATAAATTTTCCTCTATGCATCGACCACTTTGCCTGTTTACCATCATTTAGTGCTTACCTACTGCTTGCCACTTTATCACCAACAAGCCAGCAAAAAAACAGTTCTTTATATCCCCACTGTTTCATCCATTTTGGGTGGCTTCAATTCCAAAATTAGCCTAGATCAGTTCCATCCTCCTTCTCATCGATTTTAATTGCTGGAAATACCATTTTTTATCGCGTTTCAGCCATGTTCCTGGTCAACCCCTACCTTTCCCAGACTTCCCATCCGCAGCCTGTCACCGTCTGCCCCACGGACAGCTTGGTGGACGGCGCGGCAGAGGGCGCCGCCATGCCGGCCACAGCCACCGTGACCTGCCGGGGGGGCTGGATCCATGGAGTTGTTGGGAAGATCGTTGGGAAAATATGGGAAACTATAGGAAACTATAGGAAATCATCTGGAAAATAGGAAGATCATTGGATTTCCTATAGTTTCCAAGATTTTTTGGGAAGATCATCTGAAAAAATCTTGGAAACTATAGGAAAACATCTGGAAAATATGAGAAATATATAATCTGCAAATGAGAGACGATGATAATGGAAAAATCATCTGTAAATGGGAAGATCATTGGGAACGTCATCTGTACATGGGAATATCATGGGAAAGATCCTCTGCAAATGGGAAGATCATTGGAACAAATCATGGGAATTCATGGGAAACACGGTGTCTGCATCCATCCCATTTCATGGAAATCCAACCACAATGGACTACTCTAAATCTGAAAATGGATTGATGGTCGTCCTTTCCAGTGGTATACAATCCCCCATGAAACGTCCATGGATCATGACGGGATAGCCCCCAAAAAAGATCAAAACATCACCGAAAAAGGGTGCCCTGATTTTTCATGGTGAATCCAGGCATTTTATCATGACCGATATGGAAAACTGGGGTAGAAGATTCTGCTGATTGACCACTTGCGATGCCTGCGATGCACTTTTGTAGGGCAGAAAAATCAGATTTTGGAGTTGAACTTCCACATGAAATAAATCATGTGAATCATATTTCTCAAGTCATTGACATTACCACAAAAGATTATGGTTTTGCCATGGAAAAAACATGTCCGATCACTTGAATACTGTAGTGCTATTGGATAATTCCTGCTTAGGAAACCTCCCATGGTTTTCCTGGCTTTCCTGGCCTTGTCACCTTCAATGCTGACCACTTCCAGCTCCACCTCCTCAGTTTCATACAACACTTGGATTCAACCAGCCTGGGCTGAAGAATTTGACCAGAAAGCCAGTTGGGTTTGTCTGAAAATAGGGTATATTCCCAATTATAGCCATTTAATAGGGATAATGATCATTAATAACCATTGGGTTTAGGGGTACACTATTTTCAGACACACCCAGTTTTAAACATGGCAGATGGCAGGTTGGAACTTTGACCCATCCCCAAGACTCCTCATCTTCCGCATAATCCGACGGCTTCTTGGACAATCTGGAAGAAGGTGCCAAAGCATCCCTGGCATCAAGAAATGAGGTCACAAGCCGTTTTTAAAGAAACCTCCAATGAGGGATGCCAAAAATGGATAGAATGCATTGCACCAGGATTTCGTGTGGAGTATTTCATATTGGAAGGGATTGCTTCCATGAAAAAAAATTGATGCATTCCAGTGATCCAGGCACCACAGGTCACCACTCACCACAGGTCACCACACCTCGCCATGCCAATGTCGAAGAAAACGCCATAAGTTTGAGTGGCGCGGACGGTTCCTTTCACCTCAGCAGATCCACGGAGGGTCCCTTAGTGTTCCTCAGGTGATCAAACATGGCGAAAATTCCCTTAGTGAATGAAGGTTTAATAGGAAAAAATGGGAAAATCATCTATAAATGCCTGGGTTCAATAGGAAAATATGGAAAATCATTCGGAAATCATCGAAAATGGTGGTGGATATTGGTGGATTGTCCATTGCCATGTTTGATTACCAGAGGGTAGGAACTTAGGAACCATGTTTCTGGTCATCTTGTCTGTAATTTAGCACTGGACGCGCCTTGTCACCAACGTTGTAGCTTGAAGGCAAATTTCCGAGGGTCACCCTGATCTTTCTGTCTGCTGGTGATGAGCCGCTTTGGACCTGTACAGGTCGTCAGATTTTTCAGAGCTCGTTTCGACAGCCATGGGCCATGGCTCTTGTAGCGATTTTCGGCAGAGCCTCATAGATCTTGAGTCCTGAGATCTCCTCGCCCGGCTCGTATTTCTTCCCCTCGGCTCAAGTTGCTTTGGAGAAGCTCATGGCAACCAGTAAAGCAACGTACTCAGCCGCTGACTTTTGGGACCATGTTCCTAGGCAGCAAGGCTTCCTTGTTGCAGCCAAGCACGGGCTTTTTCAGCGAAAAGGATAGGGCGAAAAAGTACAACCCCCCTGTGAAAGCGATCCCTAAATTTGTCCAAAATCAGGAATCCAGTCTTTGGGATCCTGCCATGCTGAAATCAAAATAACCATTTGGGTTCGCCCCATTTGGACATACCAATAACATCCCATCACCTTGCTTTCCCTTCTGTTGATTCAATCCATGTAAATCCGCATTTTGACTGATCCAATCCTCATTACTATAGGTGTTCATCACAGGCAAATTTGGTGTTTCTCAAGTCAGTGCCAATAATTTGGATGACAACTTAGGTCCCCCCATGGCTTAAGAAATCGATGTCCAGGATGTCCACATACCAATCTGCACAAAACCGGCTCGAAAATTTCATGGTCCTTCTCAGCGCCGATGTCAATGTAGACGCCGATGCTGGCATCTCTAACCACCTTGCCTGCGAACCTCACGTCAGAAAATTGACTTGAAAACGGGGGTAACATGGAGTAACCAGTGAAGCAACCAGTTCACCCTATGTTGGAAAACCATCGGAAAACCCGAAGAATCAGGAATGCGAATCCCCCCAAAAGATGGAGCTGAACTTTGGCATTTTTGAGCGGCCCGATTGTGAGGATCTGAAACCATCCAATACTCCAATACTATTACAGGTGTAATACTATTATAGGTTTGAGGCTTTGAGGTACATTGTTTTGAGACAGCAACTCAGAATGACCAGCCGGAACCTTTGGGCATACAGAGGTGGCCCTTCTCAGCCCCGAACTCCTTTTCACCTGCTTCCAGGTCTGACAAAGGAATCGGACCGTCGCCGTCTTCCGCCTCAGCGGAGATTTCAGATCCGTCTGCTGCCATCGGACCATCGGACGGACAGCCGTGCCTGACGGACGGTGCGAACCATGCTGTGAGGTTGTCTCCTGGAGGATCCGAGGAGATCTTCGCAATCCGACGACTGTAGGACTGGTTTTTGGAAGACTGGGGCCTGGAACTTGGGTTAGAATCCAGCTTCTAGTCTAAGTGTGAAAACCATAAAAATCAAGGGACTTCCCCACCAGGAGTGTTCGCCAGTTACTGATTGGGATGATCTTCCAAGCACAATCATGGCGGGAGCACCAGCTTCAACCGCAAGATTTTTAAGCGCTGGTTGGACCACTATTTGACCATCAAACAATGGTCCAACCAATCCAGAGAAATGATACGAGAACAAAGCGGCTTTGCCTGAAAACAGGGTACCACTTCGAATCCCATGTTTCAGAAATGTTTTAGAAAAACATTAAAATATGGTCCAGTCGACTGGGAAGCCCGTACAAGAAAATCCAGACCAACTATCTGGAGGAAATTTAGCCAACATCTAAGCTGCTGTATAAACCCCATTCACTATAGGTTTTCTTTTTCCCAGCCATACCTTGCAATGAAGCATCTTCAAAAGAAGCAAGGCGTTGGCGTAGCCAAGGAACCACAGAGAAACATTCAAACATTAAAATTATCGGTTTAAGGCTGCATTATAGATTCGGAAATCATGTTCTACAGATTCCAAGTAATTACTTCCATTCAAGTGCATTTCATAAGCGGTTTTCTTTGCAAAATGCCGCCAGTTTTGCTTGGGACGACCACAACGCAGTTTACCATAGTCCACTCTATTTCCGGAATTTGGTTCAAAAGATACTTGTCTTAAAGGGTCATCCTCAGGGGCTCTAAGCACATGCCCAAGTAATTTGGTCTTGCGGTGAAGATAATATTCGCTGAAAAGACTGATTTGTTTGTGGTCTTTTCGGTGCGTGGATACAATGTCTGTACATTTCTTGAGCTCTGCCTGGTTTGTATTTCGTCTATCTATGAACGTTGACGCTAGCCCAAGAATTTTTCTCAGGCAACGTAACTGGAAGGCGTCAATTTTTGTTCATCATGGCTTGTGTGAGATGAACAGTCTCCAAACCATAGATAATTTTGGATTTAATAACAGCATCACAGATCAGCAATTGCCATTTCAAACTTGCATTCGTCGCCTTCCAATATGGCAGTAATCTGAACCAAGTTTTTCTTACTTCTTGCATTTTGTTCAAAATTTCGTGCCAGATGTTGGCTTCTCTGTTGATTTCATTTCCTAAGTAAGTGGTCTCAAATCGTTTTGGGAGCGGTTCTTCATTGTCGAAATGGACCGAGCCATCATTATTCATTTGGATTGCGACACACTATAGGTATAAGTACCATAAACCATACAGTAGTTATTGGAATTTGCAAACAAAACGGCGCACGGCGGGCTGTCTTTTTGAACCTGGGCCTCAACAGTCATACACAAGTTTGTGCATGCCACTAACAAAACATGTGGTTTCACATGTATGGCAGTGATTGTCGTTGCATTGTCCCATGAGTCCACACTTCTCGATTTGTGCTGAGTGTCATCCTTGTGCAGTGGTCATGCAAGGCAAATGGAACTGGTAAGTGCTTACACAAAAGTTTTGCACTCCTCCTTGGATTGACGAGTTTTAACTGCTCAATCCACACTCCAATCCAAATTTCCTTTTCCACCATCGCTGCACATGACACTTCCATGCAAATCTGAGCATCGGGATTTAGGTTTACCCGGTAACCTATTTGAAATTCATCCTGCAAAAGCGTTCTCTCTCAGCTCGTTGGCATATCTTTGAAATCGCTCTGCAATCAGAGCCTCATTGTTGGTTCTTTGGCTATCAGCTATATGCTCCAACCGATCTCCCAACTGTTGATACAACCTGATTCGTGCTCCTCGTTCTAGGGGTTGTCCAATGTTCAGACTGTCCAGGACTAACATGATGCATCTTTGGACTGAAGCTGCTTCTTCCCAGTTCTCTCTGGAAAGAAAGGAATTCAACTCCTGCCTCAAAGTGTCGTGGATCCTTGTCAGTTCACCTGATGCCTCAGAGATAGGCAGAACTGGATCCATCGTTGGTGCTTCTGATTCTGCACCTTCAGCCATTGGAGATGCTGCTGCTGGATTTTCTGTCATATCTGTGTCATCTCCAAGTGCTACACCTCGATTCTGCTGCATCACTGTTGACATGTACCTGTTTGCCCCCATAGTACGAGCTGCTACCAGGTTAGCTCTTTCGATTGTGAACATATGCTGTCTCTGAGACGGTGTCAGCTCTGAGTGAATTGTGTAGCCACCAAGCATTACCAAGCCGTAATGAAGAGAATCGGCTTGATCTGACAAAATGTCATCTTGGCTCTCCAAAAGTTTGAAATTTCTCTGTAGCTCGGCAACTTGATTCTTCAGCTCATTGACTTCGCCTCTCAGAGTCTTGTTCTCATTGCAGAGTCGGTCCACTAGGCTATCTGTCATTGCCATCAAGCCATAGCTGTGCTCGTAGCTGTCATAGGCATCCTTTGCCCATTTGAATGTTCTTGCCATGAAAATTACCACACCCAGAAAAACCATGGTCATCAGGAAAATTGCAGTGTATGAAAATGGTTCATATTGATTGTACGCATTGGGCTCCAAACTGCATTGGTTGTCTGCATCAGACATTGGAAACGCAGCCGCTCCCCTGAGGGTAGAAGACTCAAGGCCCATCACCATCAGCACTCTTGCAATTTGTTTCGCCAGTTTTGCCATCTGACGTCCTCCATGGCGTTCGGATTGCATGTGGTACTCGGATTCACCAATCAGACAAAAATCGTCTGAGCTTGAAGCAACATTCATCTCATGTAAAAGCAAGTGGACACGTTGAACTCCCAAGCTTTTGGTACCAATATCACTGATATTCCACACTGTTGGAATTTGACTGAGTTTGAAAACGTTGTTACGTATGGCATCTTGTATCCACAGAATCTTTCCACTCACATGCTTTACTTTTCCAGTCCCCTGCCTCATCACCAGCTGTCTCCCTGAAGAGGAATCGGTGTACATCATGTGTTCAGCCTCACATTTGCATACAAATTGGATACATCTTCGAAGAAAAATTCCATCACTCAATGTGCTCACCATGGCGTGCAATTCAGACTCGCAACTTGACAAGCTAACAACTCTTTGTGTGCGTGAACTTGCAAAAAGGAATGAGCCATTGAGCATGTGTACACCACAGCTAGTTGAACGTCGATGAGACTGGTTGCTGCTCCAATCGCTGTCACTGAAACTTTCCAATAACCAAAACTGATCTGTTGAATGCCACTTTCCTTGACCCCCTGTTGGAATCTCCAGCAGAACACAGTAGTTGGGTGTTGCTTTGAGGTACCCAACCAACTTTCGAAGTCTTTGCAAGGCTGTGCATGTGGGTCGTGACATAGCTCCACTGAGCTCTTTCACAGTAAACAACAAATCAGGACGGTCTCTTGCAAGGTAAAGACATGTTCCAACAACTGACCTGTATCCAAAGGCATCTTTCGGAGCTAGCTCATCTGAACGGTCCTCTGTTTGAATCCCTCCATCACAAGGAATTGCTTGGGGTCTCACTTTCCCAAACTGTTGCTCGAAAAGTTGTACCACCTTCTCAGCACTAGTGCCTGGCAAAAGCGCCAAGCCATGCTCCAGTCTTTGGATTTTCCGCTTCAGGAAGTTGATTTCTGATCCAACACCTTGCAAAACTGATGAACTGATCTTGAATGTCTCAGCGAACTTCGGTAGGAAAGTTTGATTCCAGTAGGCACGGTTGCCACAAAAGAGAATGTCATCCACGTGAACCATGATACAGCAATGTTCATTTCGCGCAAGACAAGGCTGTTCTGGACACCATTCGAAGTTCAAATGCTTTGACAAAAACCCACGTAGGTGCCAATACCAGCTTTTGGCCCCTAAGCGTTGTCCAGGAAGGTTTCTTTTGACAGTGTAAGCCTTCCCAAGCAAAGTCACCAGCATCGGTGATGGCTGGTCCACCATTAAGAACGCATCCTTCACGTCCACAGTGCCCAAGCAAACCTTTGTCTCTGAATTGTCATTTGCTGGAACATCAACCAAGCTTTGCAAGTACAGCATAGGCAGAACATTGAGTATGTGCGTACTGGTTGCTGGTGCATATGTATCTGAACGTTTCTCCCAGAATGCAAACTCTCTTGCCACAAGGCGAGACCTGCGTAGCCAAGCCTTCACTGTTGATCCATCTGGTTGCACTCGATCTTTCAACCTCCAGTCATATACAAACTTTGTTGTGAGGGTATTGGATGCCCCCAACTGCATGTCGTTGCCCTCCACTAGGACATTCATGTTGCACAAACGTGTAAGTTCAATGTAGTCAGCCACTCTGTCAACCCATGCTTCTGGTTCAGGTGGCGGTTGATCAGGTGGTTGACTTGACCAGAGTTCCTCCGGGATGCCATCCATGGGAGTATCGTCAGACTCCTCCTCCAACCAAGCATCAACATTCACGTGATCATCCATGCTCAAGTCGTTGTCATACTCATCCATTGTAAAGTGTTCATCCTTTGAAAACTTCACACTGCGCACCATTGAAGCATAGTCAGCACTGATTCGATCAAGCCTTTGTTTCTTCGATGCCTCAACCCTTGCTCTCTTGGATTCGTGGTCATCAGGCTCGATGTCGTGCTGTCTGGTCGTAGGGTTTGTCCTTGGAGTTGCAGGTACTGCTTGAGGAATTTCAGGCGTTTGTGGCACATCCAACTGTGATCCCACTGCAGTAGAAGAAGGACCTGTAGATGCCATAGCTTGTGGTGCCAATTCCACAGGTGTCAAAGGTTGTTTTTCGCCTTCTTCCACAGGGTCATCAAAAACTCCAATGGGGTTTGGAAATTGCATTCGCTTTGGACCATCATCAACTGGCTCACCAGCCTCTGGCATTGTGATTGCTTCGGGCTGCTGCTGCTTGTCATGCACCATCATCTCAGTTAGTTCAATGTCCTCACGGACTTCCTCCAGATGCTTCTGTCTCACTGCTTCAGCATCCTCGTCAAAGAATGCACTTGGTTCCACTTTTCCCGTAGGAGCGGAAAAGCTTGCGGTTAATGCTCCCGACTGAGCACGTGTAGGCACTATGCGCCCACCAAAACCAGTTTTGTATTCCCAAGACCAACACCTGAAGTTCATGTAAAAGGGTAGATGCCCTCTCCAAACTGTTGAGATTCTCCTGATGCTTCTCGTGAGAACCAGTTCATGTCCATCGAAAAGAATGTAGGTATCCTGTGGGTCCGTTTTCCCCAAGAAAACCATTCTACGCCATCTCGCAGTTCCCTTTCCAGTCACCTTTGCAAACCCAAAAACAGGCTCTCCAAAGTTGCAAATCGCTCCTCCATACTCCTTCTGATAGAGGATCTCGTAGGGTGTAGTGCCCCTTGTTGGTGTGAAGCGGTTCAGCAAGAAACTGGCATGTCTGAATGCCCAACTCCACCAAGGTGAATTGCTTGAAAATTCAACTCCAACTTGTTCTGAAAGAAAATGCATCAATGTACCAGCCAATGGTCTGATTCTTCCAACTGCGTTTTCCACCAGTGCGTTGCTGTGAGAGTAAGGCGCCGACGTGTTGTGGCGTGTTGGAAGCCCCATTGACAGACGTGCATTTACAACCATGCGCAAAAGTTGTCTCAAAGTTGGCTCATTGTCGCAGTAAAAGACAATCTCTGAGTGTCCAAGAATTCCAGTGAATCCTAGCAGCTCTCTTACCATGAGATTCCATTGATTTTTGCTTCTAAGTGGCACTGAATGCAAATACCCAGTGGCGCTGTCGATCATCACCAAACTGATCATAGTGTCGACATCCTTTTCAGCCATCGTGTCTGGGACTGCCTTCGTGTAGCAAAAATCAAAACTAACTGTGGCAACACCTGCTCTCCTTGCACCATCTGACTTCAACTGCTTATCTGCTCTCGCTCTGAAACAAACACAGCTGCTACACCATGGTGCATATGGCAAGTGAGTGAGATTGTGCTGCTGGACTTCGGCCTCTGAAGGTGGGACTTTCAAGTCCATTGCCTTTGGAACCCTTGCCAACTCCTTCATTGAATGCTCAACTGCAGAGTGAATAACTTCAAGTTCTTGCTGTTTCTGATGATTGAGAAGCCGTGTGAAGCATTTAAGCTTTGAACCCGATGTGCTCAAGCTGTGATAAGTGCATCCAGCTTTCAACGCTTTCATTGAACTCTCTGGAGTAAGCTCAACACCATTGACCATGACCAAGTCTGTAGGCGCTGGCTGAAACAAAATTCGTCCCTCCAGTGGCACATCAGCTCCTCCTGAACCTTCAGCTCCATCCTCAATCTCAATTCCGATCACCTCATCTTCCGGTGCAATTGCAACATCAGCTAGCTGTTGCCTGTCAGCTTCAGGAAAAAGAGGAGGTTCATCTCCTACAAGCGTAAAACCCATCACCAATGGATCTTGCTCTGAGTCTGTAATCACAGTCAACAAGTCACGTGGGCCCTCAAATCCATAGATTTCAGCTCCTAGCTCAATCAAACTGTCAAGCTTTTCGCAAAGTTCAAGCACATACCACTCTCCTCTGTCTCGCAACAAGGTGGTTCGATACCTGTCACCTTCCATCTGAGGTTTGAACAGCGTTGGATCCTGAAAGTGATCCGAGTGGTGTCTTCCAACTCCACAACCTTTGTCATCAAGATTCCACCCTGCTGGACCTACACGCAAATCAGGAAAGACATCGGCACGAACTGCTCGAACAGCAAGACTTGTTGACTGAGAAACTGAAACATCATCACTTGAGTTGATTGCTCGAATCCAGCCCTTGACTGTGACACTCATGTTTTGAAGTTCTATTGGCACTTTCACTCCAGCTTCATGTGTCAAGACTTGCTCCCTAGAGTCCATGCTCCATCCTGACTGCAGTAAACGGCCAAAACAAAGAATTGGTTGAGTCACATGTGGTGAGATTGCAACTCGCTCCTTGAGGACTACCGTTTTCCCTAATTCATCCAACAATCGGATTTCCACATCACGCATAGTCTGAATGGGAATAAGTTGGCCCTGAGCATCATGCAAACGTGTTGAAAACTCACTGCAACCATCTCCACAGTCTGCAAATCCTACAGGAAACACTGCAGCATCGGCTCCTGAGTCAAGTAAAATGCTACACATGTCACCTGCATTGTCTGGCACTTCACTGATGATTGCACGTATTTCACCATCATGCGCAACTGAATCAACTTCATCAGAGTCACCAATGAAAAAGTGAATGGCACGAATAGAACCTGCAGATGATTTGGGACTGTCACGAAGGTCACAAACAAAATGCTCTGACCCTTCAACGCTTGAAATGACTTCTGAAATTCGTGAAACTTTGTACTGAGTCGATTGCTGTGCCTGGTGCTGCTGAGCTCCTTGTTGAACTCCCTGTGCAGAAGCTCCTCCTTGCTGTGAAACACTTGTCAAATTGGTCCATTCCGATTGGCTTGAACCTGCATTGGAAGAGGTAGCTTGCACATTTCGAACAGCATTCCAGCAATCTTTCGCAAAATGTCCAGGTTTATTGCAAACGTAGCAAACCTTGTCAGTTTTGCCACCCTTTCCTTTGCCCTGTGTCTGAGCTGATTTTCCCTTTCCAGAGTTGTTGCCACCTTTGTCATAGGATTTGGTCTTACCCTTATCCTTGCCTTTCTGCTTTGACTTCCCTTTTGCATTGCCTTTGTCGGCTTTTCCTTTTCCCTTGTCAGAGTATTTACCCTTTCCTTGGATACGATCCACCTCCATTGGCTTCACCTCAGTTCCAGCATCATCAGTCGCAGAAACCAAGTTTGTCCATTTCTGGTGTGCACGATCCCAACGAAGGATTTCCTCTCGAAGGTCTTGATACTTTGTATTGTCACGCAAACTCAACGACAAATGGGTCTTCAAAGCCCCTGTAACACAACGTAAAAGCACTGCTGACTTCAGGTCATCCGCTAAAGTCGTGCCTGCTCTTCTTGTTTCCTCGAATGCATCCTCCAACCTCAAAAGCTGAGGCTGCAATGGTTTTGACATACTGAAGGACGGCCATGCAGTCACCGATGCAAGTAGGGACAATCCTCTTGCTTGAGTATTGGGTCTCATGGAGAGAACTATCTGGCGCAATGCTTCGAATCCATTGCCCGATGTTGTTGCCTTGACGATTGATAAAGCTCTGTTCTTCACCAACCCTGACAGCAAACCATACAACTTTGCAGACCTCTGACGCACTTCCAAAGGTCCTGAGTCAATGTTCAACTCCTTGGCTGGCTCTTCAGTGATTTGTGAAAGCTGCTCACTGAAGCCCTCATCGATGCAGATGAGATACTGATTCAACTGCCATAGCCAATCCCTGAAATGTCGTTGGTCTTGCTCTTGATTTGGAAAGTCGAACACAGGTGGCTTATTCACCAATTTGCTCCAGTCAACCTGAAGCTTGCCTGAAGCTGGTGTTGTACCAACTCCTGATGAACTTGCAGCTGTAGCTGCAGCTGTCGAACTTGCTGCTACCTGCTGTGCAGCTTGTGCAGCGTTTGCCGCTGCAGACGTTGCCTCCGCAATTTGGAGTAGTGCCGCCTGAAACACTCCAGCATCCACTGTCTGCTGAGCCATGCGTCCAAGCCCTTCCAGAATGAATCTAAAGGTTCACAACGCAATGTACAAGCAAGTGAAGTCTGTGTTAATGTTCCCCCAAAGCAGTCACACCTATCTCCTTGCAGAAACCAGTGTTGTCACAAAATCCGGAAAAGGATCACTCAGCTCAAATCACGCTTTGCCCCTCACCGACTGTATCGGTCCAGAAAACCCAGCTGTGTATATCCAGTGTTGCAAATAGACCTAAGGCCAGTATGCCCTGAACTTCCAGCTTGCAGTTCCCCAGAATTTCTTCTCCACCACTCTCCAGCAAATGGTCTTCAGCCAATCCAGAAAAATAGCAGGAGCAAAGTCACAGGTGCTCCGCTACCATGCAAACAAAACGGCGCACGGCGGGCTGTCTTTTTGAACCTGGGCCTCAACAGTCATACACAAGTTTGTGCATGCCACTAACAAAACATGTGGTTTCACATGTATGGCAGTGATTGTCGTTGCATTGTCCCATGAGTCCACACTTCTCGATTTGTGCTGAGTGTCATCCTTGTGCAGTGGTCATGCAAGGCAAATGGAACTGGTAAGTGCTTACACAAAAGTTTTGCAGAATTAGAAAACAACTTTGCTATCATAGATCGGCCACACATCCCATTAAATCACCATTTTCCTATGGTTTCCTATCGTTTCCTGTGGTTGCCTATGCGCCCCTAGAAATCTCCATCGTCCTCCGCATGTTGCTTGCTGCTTTCACCAGCAGCACCATGGCAGATGCACCCAAGACGAGGTTTCCTGGCTGTTGAAACTGTTGGATTTCATGGAAAATTGACCCCCACACAAATCGGGATATGATGGGTATATCATAGATATTTTTAAAGAATGGTTCTTCACATTTCTCATTATTCAAGTTCCAAAGTTAAAAATTGTAGATCCAAGTTCAATCCCTATCAGGTTTCGATTCAGATTGTTTAATCTATCTACTCTATATAATCTCCATGTATACATATTCAGGCCGTGTTTATCAACGTCCAGTCCAGCTGGGGTGCTCCGGTGCCTGCATTGTTCTGGTCCTTGGAGTCCCATTCTATCTTGCTCGCACCGCGAAGCGCCACTCCGACTGGCCAAGTGTCTGCAACAAATAGTAGTGCTATGGGTAAAATTGAGTGAGATCTATGTGTGCATGTCTACATCCAATCGATATGTGTGTATGTATATATAGCAACCCAAAAAATGCCGAACATGTGAAAGTTTATCATCAATTTCAGTTTTCAATTTTTGCGCCATGAGAAATTTTTGGATGTTCCCAATGTTCCCATCAATTTTCCCATAGAAAAAAATTGGGGGGTTGCAGTTTCCACACTAAAAACCCATTTTTTCATCACCTGTTGGAGGCGCAGTGGCTCCGGTGGGTCCCACGAAGGCATTGCCACAAGCCTCAGCGAAATTCCACGGGAAGGACCGGCAGGAAATTCCCACATTTTTTTGTTCCGTGGAACCACGAATCCATATGGATTAAAGTTTATTTTTTGCAGAAAAAACACCCGAAAATTCCAAGTTGTACTTGTTTGCCTGCGTATTTTGGTTGGTGGAATCCTATTTTCGATTGATTCACATTTCAACCCGGTCCACTGAACAACGGAGTTAGGTTTGGCTCGTTGTTTCAATCCGATGCCAAGAAACTATGATGCCACACGCAGCTGCAAGCGTGCCAATCAGCAGGACGCCTCATAATTTCTAAAAGCAACTTGGTGTTTTTAAACAAAACTGGACACAAATCAAACGCAGATTGCATCTGCACCTGGAGTTTGTAGGCTCCTTCCTGGCCGGAAGGACTGGGTCATCATGCTGAAGGACCTGCAGATCGAATTGAAACAGCCAAGTGATTTCTGGGAAAATTGGTTGGAATCACAGACAACAAAACGAGGCTATAGACCTATTTCATTCAAAAGCAAAACGAATCGTGGGATTCACTGCTGAGAACTGCGCCCAGCCCACAAGACCAGAATCTTCCGATGCCAAAGCCGAAAATGCAGCAACATGAAACAGTTCATTCGTCAAGATGTCAGCTATATCTATATCCGTCAACTACAGGGAGGAATGTCAGTGGAATGACAAAATAAGAATAACGCAAAAGGCACCAGTTTCCGTCTAGTGCAATACAATCTATCCATATTTAAGATAGGAACACCCCTGGCGGCGCACAGTTCAGAACAAAATGCAACAAAAATTCATGGCATTTCGTGTCGTATCAAAACACACACACACACATATATATTTTTTAAGACATGATCCCATTATTCTTAACCGTCGCACTCTGCAGAAATTCGGGGTGTCCCATTTTTATGTAAATTTGCCGAAAAACAATTGTGAAACAGTGAAATATGTCATGGAGGCACCTTCCTCCATCTTTGAAATTGGTTTGTCATAGCCACACACAAGTAAACTAAAGTTTCAAACAGTTCATTTTGGGTTTCGAATCTCTAGTTTTTCATCTTCAAAAATTCCCACCATATGGCCCATGGTGAGGCACGAGAACTCGGCAAAAACTGACGGGCGCACCCTTAGGTGTGTCAGGGCAGTTTGGGAAAAAGACCCCAAACCAGGAAAAAACCGGGGCGTCAATCCGTGTATCCGGACAGACGGCCCAAACACCATAGCACCCTGAAGGTAACAAATGGGATGCCCGTGCATTGGCTAAAAAATAAACAAAGAAACTCGGCTCAGGAAGGCTCGTGACAGTTCATGCCGTAGTGGATCATCAGGGAGAAAGGCGCAAAGGACGATGAGCAAAAGCGCATCCAGTCCAGGAACAAATCAAGACCAGACTCATGACGGTTTACTCCTCCATGGCCCCATGCAGTGCAATTTGGCGGGTTGTCGTGTCCAAAGTGGATGCTGCCACCGCAGCCCGGCGACTCAGCACTGCCCGCGCACGGCTTGCCCGGATGCCAACACAGAGCCCTTGAAGAAGGCATGCATGAAGAGCACCAGGGTCACCTCCCTCTCTGGCAGCTGCCCCACCAGACAAGAGCAACAAAATGTGGGATGCATCTGCTTCCCCGCACGAGTGGACTCGGCGACCATGGGTCGGAACCGGATGCCCTGGCTGTGTGCATGTCTGCGAGTGGATGGCCTTGAGTTGCGCATAGGCGCTTCACAGCAAGCGGTCGAACCCTGCCAGAAGGTTTGGGGACGCAAGGAAGGGAGCAACCTCTGCGCAGGCGCGGCCATAGTGTTGGACCTGATGGCCGGACAGGCCAGGGGCGCTATCCAAAGGGAAGTGCCGCAAAGCACGGTGCACACTGTCAAGGGCCACTTCGATTGCAGGCGGCGGGTTTGGAGGAGGAGGCACCAATCGCCCTGGCGGGTGAAGGCCACGAAACGCGGCTGCTGTTGCGGCTGTTTCGGGGCACAAGCCTGTTGCCAGTAGCGCCGCACAAGCCTTGCGATCGAAGCCTTCCCGTGCCAGACGCTCTGCAACCGAGCGCTTGCTGTCGTCTGTGGGCCCCCGTGCCCGCCCAGGGGGTGGTTTGCAGTTGCTGCTCCAAAGTTCCAAGCGCTCCCCCTCATGCCAGCGCCAGAGGCGGTCCAAAGTGTAGGCCGCTGCGGCTCGTTGGTGTTTGCGGCCGCGCCGTGGATGGGGGGAAAGGACACAACGCGGCAGCATGAAGAAATCTGCACAAGATGTCGCATCATTGTAAGTGGCTACCATGGCCAGGGACCGTGTCAGCACTTGCCGCCACAACCCCTTGCCATCCCAGGAACGTGCCGCAACTCCAGTCACGGTTTGGTCACGGGCTGGACGGCACGTCGCGTGGACCCCAAAGCGTTTGGAGACGGTTCACAGTACTGTTTCCGTTGCTTCAACTTTCATATCTATAAAAGAACATACAAAACATGGCTCATGCAGCAGCAGGGTTCAATCGCGCATATTTTGATCGTGGTGCAATCAGATCTGTAAGTTTGTACAATCGTGCATGGTACCAGCGGGTCCACCTAAGTACAATATGGTACAGATCACAGGCACCCCCAAACAACTCAGATATACATACCCAAATAACGGGGTAGTAAAAATGACGTGAGTGAAGTGGGGAGTACCAAACACCCTACTCACCTCATCCATTCCCCAATGGTGGAGTAAAGGGGAAGGTGGAGGGTGAAAAGAACGTATGAAAGCTTGAAGCACAACGGCCACGGAGAAAGGAACTTCCGGGTCATCCCTGTGAACAACTATGTACACGTACAAAACAGGTTCACAGTACTGTTTCCGTTGTTTCAACTTTCATATCTATAAAAGAACATACAAAACATGGTTCATGCAGCAGCAGGGTTCAATCGCGCATATTTTGATCGTGGTGCAATCAGATCTGTAAGTTTGTACAATCGTGCATGGTACCAGCGGGTCCACCTAAGTACAATATGGTACAGATCACAGGCACCCCCAAACAACTCAGATATACATACCCAAATAACGGGGTAGTAAAAATGAAGTGAGTGAAGTGGGGAGTACCAAACACCAATTTAGATCGAAAATCGACCAGCCGGAGCAAAAAACCCACAAACGATCGATTGAAGAACCCTGAGTCAGCGGACTCTGCAAGAACCATTTTTCACCGATGCCAAATCTGTGACGCCATCTTTGGCCAGACTGCGCAGTGAAAATAGATGCAGAATCAAGCAGCGTCTGCCACCGCACCTGACACTGGTTAGACAGTGTGAGGGGTTCAGGAAGAGGCTGTTTGAATCTGCTCAAAGCATCAGCGATGTCGTTGAGATGTCCAGGAATATGCGTAATCTTGGGGTAGATCTGACATCGACGCATGAAAGCAAAGAATGGAGCCAGGACTGTAGCCATTGCTGGTGTCATAGATAATCCTTTTGCACTTGCAGCATCTGCCGCACTGTTGTCACAGTGCCTTGTAGGCAAGATACTGCACTACGACAAGTGGGCAAAGCTGTGTGGATGCAAAATGTCAGGGCATACTGTGCCAGCAATTCCCATGCGGCAATGTGTTTCTGCATGTCTGATTCAACCCAATCCCATAGGGTCACGGCTTCATCCAGGTGAATTCTGAATTGAAACCAGTGGCAGGACCCATTGGGAAAAAATACAGCACCACCCATACCAGCAACCATGTTGGTAGCCATTGCGTCAGCAGTAGCTGTGAGTTCGATATGGACTGGTGGTGTCATCGCCAGGGAGAATGATGTCGAGGTGTGAACAAACGTTCCCAGACTGCCAAGGCAGAATGTGCATCATCTTCGAGCAAACGATGAGGAGACTTTGGGTCAAGGACGCCGATCCAAATTCTTCTCGAACGCAAGTGCAAGTTCTGAACCTCGGTCAGAGCTTTGACGTGTGTGTTGGCCATACGAACTAGCGTGACATCTTTGGCCAGTGAATGATGTTGATGTGTGAGATCGACTCGCAGCACCAGATCAGAGGATAGGTTGGAAACCAGACACTGGAAGACCACATGGTCCATACCAATCATAGTGACAGGTATGCGACCCAAGGCTTTGTAAAGTGGGATCAGCAGTGGCCGCAAGTAGTGCCAAGCTGATGTCATCAATGAACGCACTTGGGAAATGATCTTCTTGATTTTGGTATCTGGGACTGAGATTGACCATGAGGCAAGAGAAATGCGCCATCCAATCCAGTCGACCTCCAACGACAATGCTGCTTTATGTCTTGACAAGGGAATGCCGAGGATCATAAACAGTATCACCAGGATTGACGCCCAAAGCGGTGCTGAAATGCTGTCCAACCAGGCAAGGAGGTCATCCACGTATTGCCACAGGACATGTCCGTAGCCTAGGAGAGAGTGTGCTGTACGCACCATTAGGCCTGCAACTCGACCCCAATACCAACCACTTGCACGAGCGCCGAAGTTGAGCGTGACACAGCGATACAACTTGCCATTGGCATGAAAGCATAACATGCCACCATCCTTGGGGTCAATAAGGATTCTGCGATGGGCTTTGGCCACGTCCAATGTAAGTTGTGTCATCTGTTGTTGAGCCATTTGCAAAGGCGCACATGCCAACACGTCAGAAATGCGAGGGAGCATCATGTGGTTTGGTATGATGGTATTGGTCGTAACGTTGCTGATGGAACTGTCAACCACCAAGCGTGGTGATCTACCTTCAGCAAGGACCACACCAAGCTTCCCAACAGCCGTTCTACTGTAAGAAGCCTGCAGTTCTTCCAGCCCACCTGGTACCAATTCAATGAAGCCTGCTTGTAGTTCTTCCTCCACGAGTTGATCAACAATGTCAGGATGGTCCTGGGCACTCTTCCAGGAGTCACAGCATTGAAGCAAAGGTTCTGGGTTTGCCACTGTGCCCGCATTGGTCGGCCAAGCTGGTGATGGGGTCAGAGTTTCATTGACCGGACACCCTGAACCAAGTCAAGCAAGATAAGAAGTGGGCATCTGAGTCATCCAGGAATGATGCCAGACGGTACCACAGATGTAACTTGAATGGCTGGCCAGGTGGGACTGCCAGTAAGTGATCACCCGGTGGGCATCCAAGGAGCTCGATCATATCGTCGATGTATGGAGCCAATTCTTCTTGAGATAGAGGTGGTTCTTCACACCCGGACAATAGGGCTGCCACAATCTTCAGGCACTGTTTGGTGTCACTGAGCCGCTTGAACTATCGGGATCGAAGGCTAACCAAAGGGTCAGATGTTGGGCGCGACATGTGCAGTGCTGAGCTAGGGAGACCCCCTCCATCCTCAATGCGTTGCTGAGCTTGAGGCCACTGTAGTTTGGACGGTAGCATAGTACGCCAGCTGTCCAACGACAGAACTGTATTCCCCTTTGACACAAGTGGGGCGATCACAGTGGCAAGAGCGTTGGCCAGTTCTTGTGGATACTCTGCAGTGAGACGGCTGAAGAATGTACCATCGGCCATACGTACTCCAGTAATCTGTTGATGCACCCCAAAGCCATGTGGACAAGATTTGGCAACTGTAAAAATCTCAGCACGGTTGGACACAA